CTACCAGCAGCATTGTTACACAAATCTCAGCACTGGCTTCCAACTTTCAACCAGAGTTAAAATTTGTATTTGACCGGATGGATCTTAATTGTTTGTCTAAAGTCTCACATCTTGGGTCCTGTACATTTTGTAAATCCATGTTGCTGGCTTCTCCTTTTAAATAAAAATTTGATTGTGGATATAATTTTATGGCTTATCCAAACATGGCATAAGCTTTATCCATGGGCTTTTATTTAACTGATTTGTTTTTAAGATTTGCAATATTGAATGTTGAGCAACACTTGAAGATATTTATAATGAAAAGCACCATACAAAGTGTTTGACTGACTCACTAACTGATGATTAATTACCCATTGCTATCAAAGAGACGGTCCTAAGCCATAAATTAAGAAATATTCATGTGGCAATATCTGGCATGCTCAGTCACAAATTCAATGAAATATTCCTATCATCAGTGGTTTTAGTGATTCAGAGGTACAAATATTACTGCCAGTTGGTAGGACACTACCTTTACATAGAAAACCTGTATGCAAATAGAGACAAACTCTGCGAGCTGTGAAAGACAGCATTTCATGGACATTTAGGAACTTTTAATGAGACAATGTTTGCCAACATTTTCAAATATAAGTGACCTAATTTTCAGAAGTGCTGAGCATCCCAGTCCCACTGAAATCAGTGGGAGCGACAGGTTTTCAGCACCTTTGAAAATCAGGCCACATTTTATTTTCAGTGCCTGAATATGGATTTAGGAGCCTAATTTTAGGACTCAGGTTTATAAATTTTATCCATTATTTATTGGTTTATATAAAATTAGATTAGAAAACTCTAAGAAATGTGGCATTTTGGACAACTGAACTGAGCACGTGCTCCGATATTATAACCAAGAAAAAGTTGGGGGGCACTTTCTAAGGTTGACTGGCAACAAGCAATAGCAGCTTATCCACTGCTGTTTGAGTGGATTTTGAGACAGAGGAACTCCAGCAAGTCCAAGCTTGCCCTTGAATAGATTGGCTGTGAGGTGAGACCATATACACTGTCTTTTTTTTTTTTTGGCTCGTGATGGATCATTTATCTTGAACTGAGCCCCTGGATGAGTTTTGTTATGAAATACGGTGAATGTATGATAAAGTAATTATCCCTTTTGGGGAAGGGATTTTTTGGGGGGAAAGCAGCATTCTTTTATCAATATAAGGTCAATCCCCTTTGCTAGCCAATAATTCACACAGTTCTCTGCACTGACCACGCTCATATAATAAGATTTACAAAAAACTGTCACTACAGAATGCACATTCCCCTCCCCATTTTTACTCCTCATCCCTTCCTGCTCCAGGTCTCTCCTGACCCCTTTCCCAGGTGTAGGCAACATCATTAAACTAGGAAATCAGTTTTGCCAAGTCACACAACTTAATTGTGAGTCTCATGATATTTGTTACAGTCCCAGTGCCTAGAGCTATGTGTTTATATGAGAATCTCCTGTTTCATTAAAAAAGAGTATGTTTCTGGCCCTCATGATTGCAGAGAAAAGGTTGAAAAGGTGAACCCAACAGCTCAAAAACCAGAAGAGCAATAAAAAACCTCAAATTTTATATATTTTTTAAAAATCTCATGATTTTTGAGATTCTAATTCATGAGTTTTATAATGGTTGGGCTTAGCAATAGTATGAAATAAAGGTCCTAAGCAGCGGTCAAAAATGTTAATGCTCAACAACATAAAACACCCCTATCTACCCTATACCCCCTTCTTTGTATACAATGATCCTGTCAATACAACTCTCCTCCCCCTAGCAGGCTGGACTAATCTGTGTTTGCAAGCTCACTTAACATCACTGTTGATCAGCCAGTAAGTGTCACTATAGACTGAAATGAGGCTCATTCTTCTCATTTGGGAGCTGAGTGTGAAAAATGTTTGCAGCAGCCTCTGGCCCCTGCAAGCTGATGGAGGGAGTGATTGAGTATGCTGGGTTTCCAAAACAGTCATACCTAGTGCTATGTACAGAATACTGAGCTGACCAGAATATATAGGACTTTTTGTTGCTGTGAAAAATGTAGAACAAAATAATCATACACAGGATAGCAAATGATGACAGTAGCTAGCATTCATTCTGATAATAATGAAGGAAAACTGAAAAATCATATCCAGCACAAATTGAACTTTAAATCAAAACAAACAGCAACACAAGAAACAGTCTTTCTTCACCACAAAAGGACTGTATTGAGAGGCAACCTAGAGACAGGAAGGATGGTTTTGTGGTGAAAGTAAAGTCCTAGAAATTGGAACAGCTGGGTTCTAGCTCTGACTCTGCCAGAGACCTTCTGGGAGAGCTTGGGGAAGACACTTAATTTCTTTGTGTTTCAATTTCCCCATTTCTAAAAAGGGGAAAAACTATACCTACCGCAAAGATTTAGCGAGGCTTCATTCACTATGTTTGTACAGCACATTCGGGTCTGTGGGTGGACAGTGCTATAAAAATACTATGTATTATTACTGCTCAGCAGTATTCCAAAAGAAAATGTGCAACAGTACATTAATAAAAAGTACACCTAAGTTAATGCAGACCCAAGATCAATTTTCATAAAAGAAAAATAAGTCAAAATAATTATCTACAAGGGAATGAAACGTTTTCCCATACATACCATAGTGTTCCTGTGCTATGTCCTCAGTATGTTTACCTATAGCATTCAACCTTTTCTTCAAATGAAAAGGGAAAGGAAAACAACTGCAAAATGAAATAACTTTTTCCTGTACCATATGTCCAATTTAAAATGTAATGCCACAGAATAAAAATCAAAAGCACTGTTGTGTTTATTTTATTAACAGGAGTATGTATGCAGTAGCTATAGGTATAATCTGCATAGGACAATAAATTTCCTTTAAGAAACAATGGTTTACATTCTGCAGTGAACAATGTTAATTAGGTTAATCTCATAGTTCAGTGGAAAGTAAGTCAAACTAAATACTAGCAGGTTTACCAACTAGTGGCATAGCTAATGTTTTTGAAAATGTTCTCTCCCAAATATATAGATTATACATTGTAGTATTGTTAATTATATCCATTTTCTCTTTTATGCACTCCCCCCAGGAGTTTAGTGGAGATTGGAAAACTTACTTATAGTGGATTTCAGATTTAATGAGACATAGATGGTTTTAATATACATGATAAAGTGATGTGCTCTTCCCATATTTTATATGTACTTGTTTTTTATACTCTAACGGCTACCATTTTGAAAATACATAATTTGATGTTTATATAGTATAATTATTAGCTAATCAACTATGTAATAGTGCCACATTGTTTAATATCATTAGATCTCTTTGCATGATATTATGCGTAATTTTTGAATAAAAGGTTTATTTCATTTTGAAAAGTTGTGTGTGCATTACAGATGCAGGGACTAATGTATAGGTGTCCATATATACTATGACTGTGTGAAGTTAGACTCCTAAGTCCATAGGTAGGGACCTAAATAAATGATTTGATTTCCAATAGAAATGAGCACTCAACCATTCCTATTAACAACTTACATCTATTACTGTGAAGGTCTACAAGTCCACTGCAACTTGAGACCATTACTCCTTGTTCTGTCATCTACTACCACTGAGAACAGTCTAGATCCATCCTCTTTGGAACTCCCTTTCAGGTAGTTGAAAGCAGCTATCAAATCCCCCCTCATTCTTCTCTTCTGCAGACTAAATAATCCCAGTTCCCTCAGCCTCTCCTCATAAGTCATGTACTCCAGCCCCCTAATCATTTTTGTTGCCCTTCACTGGACTCTTTCCAATTTTTCCATATCCTTCTTGTAGTGTGGGGCCCAAAACTGGACACAGTATTCCAGATGAGGCCTCATCAATGCCGAATAGAGGGAAATGATCATGTCCCTCGATCTGCTGGCAATGCTCCTACTTATACAGACCAAAATGCTGTTAGCCTTCTTGGCAACAAGGGCACACTGTTGACTCATATCCAGCTTCTGATCCACTGTAACTCCTAGGTCCTTTTCTGCAGAACTGCTGCCTAGCCACTTGGTCCCTAGTCTGTAGTAGTGCATGGGATTATTGTGCATGGGAAGAGTGCTGCTGATTGAGACTTGATGGATATTGCAGAACAAGAGACAACCCTCATCACCCTTACCTCAGCAATGGTTTAAGATTTCTAAAACCCTAAAATTAATGGTCTATCCCTCTTCTTTCTTATTTCATCTGTCAAAGATCATCCATAGAGAAAGGTGACCTGCGAGATGACACTGAGGAGGTGATGTTTTGGAGCTACCATACTGACAACTATGAACACAAGACAATCTTGTTGTCCAACCAAGTCAGAGCTTCATTAACACAAACATACTCCTGCACAAACTGGTAATGGAACAATAAAATATGTCCTTCATACTAACAGTAGCAAAGATGAGTCCTGGCCTCCAGCTGAAGGAGGTAATGGTCTGAATATGACAAAGGTGTAAACTGCATCCCCCATCACCAGTCCCAGGCTCAAGACTAGATTGTGGCCAATCTCATAGTGGGTGTGTCTATCTCTACCTATCTATAGTTAATAAGCCTGATTCTTCTCTCATTATACCAGGTATTTGCCCGTGGGATTACTGACTTCAGTACAGCTACTCCTGCCTTAAGTGAGAGGAGACTCAGGTCTCATGTCTATTAAACTGGGGTGTTATACAACACATTAACTAAAGTGTTCAATATAGAGACTGCAGTACACAATGTAATCATTTATAATGAAACCAAGTTTATAGGGAAGTAAAATAAAAGACACAAATTGCTAGCAAATTCTGATGACAGAGAGCATTCCTTTGAAGTTTTACTGTAGAAAAATAACTTCTCTGTAAGTGTGCAACAGTACATTACATGAACACATTGTATATAAATGCAGGTATAAATGTGACTGTACGATTACATATGTGCATATATTGTATTATCATTACCTGATACATATTTTATCTAACTATTAAGAGAAATCTCGCTATGAAAACTATGTTTTTTTTATTACCTTAAAATATTGCAGTTGTTTCTCAGCAGTCATTGTTCCTTCATTTTCTTGTCTCAGACAGGAATTGAAGATGAAAAGCTCTGTATCTCTCAGCCACCCTTTCAGCTCTTTGATCCTGACCTCCAGCTGCCTTACCAGACTGCCACTTTCAGGTGAGAGCAGGTCACGTGGACCTGACCCACTGTGCCCTACCATTGTGTCTTGGATCTTCTCTCCTAGGGTTTTCTAATGCATTAGATTAAAAAAAAACAAAACAGAGATTAGTCTTATGTACCAAAACATATCACAGGTTAGTGAGCAACAAGAACTATCTGTTAGATGACTAGTAATATTTTTTCTAGTTATTACCAATATCAATCAATTTATGCTTTGTATCCTTTATTCTCATTTAGGGCCCAATTTTCTTCTCATTGAAGTTCAATGGCAAAACTTTCTTTGACTTCAGTGGGAGGAAGAGCAGGAGCTGGTCCTTAGTGACAAATGGATTTTTTCATAACAACAATTATGGACAAAGAAGACTAAATTGTACTCATTAGATTAACTTTGTAAAGTGATCACCTAGGAACACTTGCCAATTGCTTAAGATAACTAAATAACTTTACCACATAGTAAGGATAGGAAATATTATAAATAATGAGTTAACCTTACCTAAAATCACAAGTTTTTAATCATGGCCATTGTATACATTTTTAAACTATGGATTCCTAGAATAAAGTTTTCAAACTTGGATGTCTAAACTTAGAATTGGGCCAAAATCTGGCCAAAATGGGTGGCCTGAATTTCAAAGGCAAACACCACCTACAGCTTCCAGTGAGATAGGAATTTCAGGTGCTTAGAACCTCTGAAATTAGATAATTAAATATGGATTTAAGTACTTAACTTTTAAGCTGCAAAAAGTTTAAAATTTTTGGCCCAAAATAAACATTCACCTATGGTCACCAATTAAATTAATTTACTGTTGCTTTTCCAGACAGCTTTTATAGTAAAAGAAACACTAGCTACATTTTCAGGAGTGAGCATTCTGAGTATAATCAATGTGCTGAAGAGGCCAAGGATGGATTGTGCAGGGAGACTTAACTTCCCTTTCAGTATCTTAAAAGGCAATCCCTCAACATCACAGTGGAAGCATGTGGTTGCCTGCTTCTATTATGCCAAGCTGTGTTTCATCTAACCTATAAAAGGCTGTCAGTCCAACACTTATTATAAGCACTAAATCTGTGCTATTGATTGTAGAATTTTGAATAAATACTGACATCCATATCCTATAACCTTTTGAATTTATAATTAGCAGGGCTTAATTGTTGTAACATGAAGATACAGTTTTAAGTGACCCTGTATGCCTGTCTGTGGAAAATGTACCATCCCCGTTCAGTGGGACATGATTTATTGTGATGAATTAAGCCTCCAAAAATAAGCTTTACAACACAAATAAAATTAGATTAACAGACATTAATCTACTGTGTAGCATTGTGTAAATAGTATCTTTAGGAGATCATAACTTGAAAACATGCATTCTTGGCAACACCTTTCTATTTTCATGGTGGAAATATTGATAATTTGAAGACTCTCAGAGGAATCCAGAGTTAGCTATTGTTTTTATGCTGTAACAAAAGTAGCAGCAGGAGGTGAAATCAATGCCCTTGGAGGGTAGGGTCACAAAAAAGAATTTATTGCCACTTTTTTGTTCTGGAACAGTTTGCAATCATAAATTCTTCATAAACAGAATACTTCAGAGAATGGTCCGTCTTCATAAATATACGACAGAGGACATCAATTTCATTTAATTCACAATTTGTGTCAGCACAGCAGATGCCAATGCCTGCCTTGATAGGGTTGTTTAATATGCAATTGAGACAGAGTAATATTCAGCACAGGGGACAAAATTTCACAGATTAAACTGTACGCACCACTGACATTTCATTCTAATGTATTTCGATTCCACACTGTTCACCTTAGATGAAAGTAATATTAAAAACCATATCCCTCTATTTTACCATTGTTAGAAGTTAAAATCTTTGTCTTTAATTTTTTTCATGCCAATTAAAATGTAATCATGCCAATTAAAACAGTACGCCTAGTGTTGCTAGTTTCTGCAGAGGTTTTTATTAAATTAAACAAAACTCTATCCAATTCTGCTTATTATACATGAAATTGCATTTAGCAGGAAAACTGCATTTTTTATTTTTCTTGTAAATGCAGAAATTGATACAAAAAGTAATCTATAATTATATTTTGATTTTAACATGCTGAGAGATAAAGTTTTTTAAATGTATTTTAAAAAAGACCGGGTAGTTTTTTTATTTACATTTTGAAAACTGATTTTAAGAAGGATTATATATCAGTTGCTTTCAAACTGTCTTTATATCCTACCAAGTTTAATCAGAGGCATGGTACTGAGCTTGAATTAAACTGATTAAATGTGCTTCAAGTCACAAATGTCAAAGTTTATAAATAGAATTATTTTTAAACAATTTAAATACAAATTGGTTGCCATAATTCTTCATTAGTTGAAAAAGCTAGACTGAGAACTTAGTAAATTCTGTTTTTTAAGAATTATAATACTGCTGTTCAATCATTTAAAAATGAATTTAGAAATGCTGCACATTACTTTTTAAACAAACTACTGATAGGACAAACTTAACTTTTTGTGACAATTGGCATATTCATAGACTCAAGCTGTTTGAAACAGCTGAACCACGCAGAAGAAAAAACATGCAAAATGGCTTTTGTATTACTACACAAGTTAAAATGACAAGCCAGTATCTAAGCTGACCCTGACAAGTTGTGTATGTAGCTTTATTTGCAATATCTTAGAAATACTGTTTTTAAAAGTAAGATAATAGCATGCAAAATTATGCTGTATAACTGTATTGCTAATATTACACATCTATAATTAATCATTTAAAGTAATTTATAAATTTATCTTACCCTTGATTTGAAGTGAAGGCAATTAAGTAGAAGTGGATGAAAAAATATAGTTTAACTTCTCCTCTCTCTCTCAGCTGTCTTACAACAATAGAACAATAGTGTCTCCTGCATAGTGCCATCACTAGTCTCTGGGTAACAGAATCACTATATTGCTTTTTTTGCAAATTCTTGTATCTCACACTTTGGCTGAAACCCAGCCCATCATAGCGTGAAATGAATTACATGAAACTTTTTTTTGGCTTTTGTCAAAAGTGAGCTGAATACAGCAGTGTGAAACTTACCCTGGCTGCATTCTTAGATTCAGGTATTCAGATTTGTACCAAATTTGCATATTTGTTTTTGAGCATTCAATATCACCTGAAATATGTAGTGACAACCCCACTTTTCATCTTAAGGGTATAGTAAATAGTTAAACAGTAGATGTCTCTAACATGTACTTTCAGAATAAATTCTATTAACATTCACTCAAGCATGACAGTCAGTGTATATCAGATATACTGTATTATAGTTGACTTGGTGCATGCCCATAATACATGGCATATTTTACTTACATTCTTTATGTATTAAAGAACTAAAATTATTAAAGTCAGACAGGTGACAAGCATGGAATAAAAAAAAATCAACAGAAGAAGAAAATACTAGTTTTTTTTATAATAGTATGAGTAGCTTGTTTGAAATGTATGTAGCGAATTGAAAGAGCAAGATATTTGTGCCTCAAATTAGAAATCAGACAGACAGCGTACTTCAACAGACAAAAATGTACATATAACCCACAAACAGTAATAAAAATGCAAATACCCCAAGCAGTTCCCATTTTTCATTAATTGAATCCACTTTTTCAAGGAGATCATTTGGTAGTAAAACACCACTTTTCTTCAAAGCTTCAACCTTACTAAGCAGTTCCATCTTTTTCGGGTGCCTGATTGACATTTCTACATTATATCTCTAAAATGAGAAGAAAAAGATAACATTAGCTACAGTAAATTGTTTTCTCTATTAAAATTCACCCTTAAAAATCAAAATGCTCAATTGTCATCCTGATCAGAGAGCTTCCTTTTTTATATAGCGAAACACACAACCTTATTAATGTGTCTTGGAAAGGATTTTTCCATAGGATTTCAGATGCACACTGAGCAGGTGGTTTGTATGGGTGGGGTTTAAGTTAGAAAAGTTGGCAACTGATTGCATACAACAAAATTAGACATAGCTTCCAACAGTCCCTCATCTAGAACCTGATCTACCTTTGTGTTCTTGAAATCAGGTGTTTTCCTAATTTTATTAAGGCATGTTATTCCTATCAGAAATACTGAAGCATGACACTGAAACTATGAAAATGAAAACAAGTAAATTCCACATTGTTGTAAGCTTCCGGCACAACTTTTTTTCTCTTGATTGTCCTGTTGGGTTTTGCCTCATATTTGGGTCTCAGGAGGTTGAGAGCTATGAAATTAAGGCATATGATGACATCATATTTTAGCCACGTTAAAAATTATTAATATCTTATTTCAATAAAATTCTAATGATTAGATTTTTGTTGAAGCACTCTTACAGTAGCACTAAAATGGTGGCACAAATAAGAACAGCAACAATGCTCACACTGTTCAAATGCTTCTTCAGCCTACAACTGCTCGTTATTTCCAGTGTGATTATTTACCTTTTTAAAAAGAAGATGGAAATAAGGATAAAGAGAAATTTAACAAACATTTTACAAAATTACTTTAAAGTGAATCTCTAAATATTTCAGTTGGCTACTTCTTATATTTTTCACAAAAGGACATACTGGCATCTGCAAGACATATTGGTAAGTAAATCTCTTTAAAACACGTGTTCTCTTAGAGCTACGTTAGTATTATATATGATGGTTACTACAATGATTAGGTATGTTTTAGTGGACTGCAGAGTAAATCAGAAAATGCAACACACACTCTTACGTAAAAGCACATTTGTTGAAATGGGACTTCTTATATTGCCAAAAACCGCACCTTTATTCAGCGAAGGGAATACAACACATTTTCCCAAACAAGTGTTTAGAAAACCTACATAAATTATGCATAGCTATTAGCAAACTGCATCTTCAACATTAAGCTTTCTTTGCTTTAAAGTCAGCCAAGACAGCTACTACAGTAGCTCTTAGCCCAGATATTAACATTTTGGGTAAGTATAACAAAATTAAACTAGAATAAAGAATGTTTAAAACATGGGTGCTTTTGCCAGATCCAAGAACATGTACTGTAGCAAAACAAAACAAAAAACAATTGGAGGCAGCTTAAAGAAAATAAGAAATGTGTGAAATCACTGTTTCAGCTAATAGGTCCTCAGCATTTCCATGCATATGTTTGCATATTGTTAGTTTCATATTTTAATCTTCCATTTACACAACACATGCACATCATTTGTATTATGTAAACTTCACAAAATATTAGTCATTTGTGGATCACAGAGCAAAATCTTTTAAATGAGGTGATTTAAAGCATTTCACATTATTAATGAACACTGATCAGGTGTCTGCGTATCAAAAATTGCATGAATATTCATAGTAAATATCAAGGAATTGTTTAAAATTTATAAAGAACTTGTCTTCTGATAGATGGAAAACAGACTGTGCTTTCTAAAAATGCGTGATAACAGGAGGCAATCGGGTTTTGCATTGAGGAATTGCCTCAACCCGCAGATAATCCAGTTTCATTGGACTAAAATGTTCAACAAGTATGCTTCTTGGCCCTATATTATTGCCTTTTCAGCTAGAATGGTGACTAGAGGAGATTACAATCTGCTTTATGTAATCTGATTTCTATTTAACGATGATATAGCTGAAAAGGATTTGCATAATTATTTCCATAAGTACATGTAATATCAAGGGGAATCCATAGTCGATTACAGCTAGGCACTGAAATCCAGTTTAGCTAGGAACTGAAATCCAGTACACATTACTCCTTTTCTTTTTCCAAGCGAATTAATAGACTGAGGGAGTCCTCTAGCTGTGTGACACTGGTGCGGGCTCTGGTTAGTTAACACTTTTCACCTGTGATTGACTGATTTGGTTGTTGTTGCCTGAACTAGATTTTGGTTATGCTCTTGGGTAGTATAAAATCAATGACAAAACAATACAGGTTGCATATGTTTCATAACAATAATGTTCATGCTAACATAAAAACTAAAACATTTCACTTAATTTTGGACTAGATAAAATAATTCTGCAATGTAGCATAGCATGAATAGTTTCTGTGACAGATGTTATAAAAGGTTATTACATTAAAAAATAAATAAGCTAGACTTTATGTATGCTTTCTGTCTTTGTCACCATGTAACCTACTGTATATAAAGCATGACGAAACCTGATGATTGATAGAGAATGCATTATACAGTAACAGTAAAAGATGAAAGAATTCAGTTAATTGTTAGATGTATTGGTATGTGAGTGAAAGTCAGTATTGTTTCACTTATGAAAATTAAAGTGAAGTGTTTATTTTAATTTAAGGAAAGAGCTTAATGTACAGCAGGTACAGTTTAGGGACTGATAGCACTAGATGCTATTGCTAATGCTTTTTTTTTTATCCATTAAACACCTACACTCTAAGCAGTTGCATGGCAAAATTAGCTACCAGCTCTATCAGTGCTGCACAACCCTAGTCTAGGAGGACTACTTTATCCTGTGGTGAGAAGATAATTTAATCTTCATATTCATTCTATCCGCGGCATTAAGTGAGCAAAGGCTGCTCCATTGTGACAGTCTGTGAATGCTATGATATAGATTACTGTTCAATAGCCAAAAATGAGATTAAGAAAGTTAAAGTCACAGGATTTCTCACAGTAGCTGCAATAAATAAATGACTAATATTTAATTTTCCACAGCACTTGCCCCACCAAACTTTAAAAAAACACACATTGAAATACTGTCAAGTACTTACAGCATGATTAGCTGTGTGTATGTGTGCATGCATGGCTGGTTTTGTGTTAATGAATCCACCCAGTAGAAATAAGAAGCATTGGTATCTATGTTAAAGAATTTTGATTCTTTTTCTTGCCAAAAAAGGGAGTTTTAAAAAAATCACTAAAGAGTTTATCTATTAAGATGCTTGGCAAATTCATATTAGGTGACTACTTTTTTTAAACCAAAAGTACTTGAATTCCAAAACAAAGGAAGTAAAAACACGATTTCTGTCAGAAAGAAATATTCTATGAAATCTAGGAAGGCTTGACTGAGGACCCCTCCCCCTTTTTGACACTTATGCTAAGGGATACTTTATATATATCTATATAGATATATATAAAAATAATGGTGTTTGTGTGTGGAAAATCACACCCGAAAATTCTGCCCAAATGGAGACTGGAACAATGCCTTGTAACAGTGTTAATTGTCACCATGGAAACCAGAAGAATAAGCCATTTTGAAACTGGTATAGAAGGCACACATTGAGCAACTCAAGCATTTTTCAGCCTCCCTCAGTGTTAAGGAACAAGATGCCTAGTCACTGAGAGGTCAGAGAAAGAAATCATCATGAAAGGTTTGTAGATGTGCACTGTCTGGTAAATAATAAAAAAAATCTGTACACCGTTAACAACGCTGTAAGACTGCACACTGCATCTTTCAGAAAGAGAAACATCACAAAAAGATGATCAGGGCTGGGGTACAGATTCCACCCCTAAAGCAAAACTTTAGGGCAATATTATGCGAACCTTGCCCCTAAAGCTCCCTGGGAATTCTGTTGTTGTAATAAAACTTCAGAAGAGGAAAGAAAAAAGGCTGCATGATGGAATTCAAAATAATGCTCTAAAAGCACACAGAGAGATTAAGACATCCATTGTAAGACTTTTGTATGGTGCTTCTGTTGGTTATAGTGAAAAGAGACTAGACATACTGAACACACAGTGGAGCTATGGCTACGAAGTACAGAAGAATTAAGCCAGTGAAATTTCTCAGTTATTGGAATAAGGTTACACAATTTGTAGATCTTCTACAGTCCATCATTCACAGTCTCCAAAATGCAACTTTAACTTTCTTTTAATGACACGACCTAGTATATGATTGAGATTAAGATTAAGTGATCTGCAATTTTATTTGTACCTGAATAATATTTTACAAGTTTATAAAACTGCAGTGATGCAGTTGCTGCAGATACACACACATACATATACATAAATGGTGCATATATGTACATACATTCATTGATTTCAGGCATGCAAAAAAGTTGTATACAGTCTACGTCAGTACATGTAAAAATGCTTTGTGGACACATTCACTAAAATATACGTGAAATATACTTGCATATATGTATATTCATACAGATATGTGTCTGTCTATCATCTCTCTGCACACACTCACATTGTGCTTTTTGGATAATGTTTGCACTCTTCATGCTAGGCTTCATGGTGGCCCCTTAGGAAGCCCCATGCCTAATGCCATTCAGTGATGAACAAAGACTCTTTTTATTCTGAAGTCCAGGGTCCAAAGCTCAGCTGTATACAAGCAAAGTGAAGGAATCTGCTAGAGGCCAGCCTACCCTTCACAACAGCTCTTAATGCTTCCACCTTTTGTCATTATATCAATGTGGGACATTTTACAAACTGTCCAGAAGCTTGGTTATATTTCATATGCAACCATTACAACTAGAAGCTCTGGACAACATTCAAGACCTTGGTTGAGTGTCCTGTCCAGACAAACAGCAGTCGTTATTTCTTGCAAACTGCTTATGTTTTACTATTAGCAATTTATGGCAAATAATTGCACAGGGAAATTATAAAGACTCCTACAATTGTCCTTGTAAATTAATAATAGGTTTTCTTGATTGGGATAAATTTGCTGCTGAGCCTTTGGAAAAATTAAAAAGTGCAATGTCATTTAAAATTGCCAGAACTCTCACAGCAAATTACATCTGAGGTTAAGAATCAGTTTTTTCTCTTCTAGCTTATTCCATTTCCATGATCTGGAAATCATATTACATTGG